GGGCAGCCCCCCACGCCGAGCCGGGCTGGGCAGGGTGGGCGGCAGCGGGGCGGCGGCCCCCCCGTACTCACACCTCCAAGATGCGGTCCCCCTTGCGCACCCCAGCGCGGTCGGCCGCCCCGCCGCCGAGCACGGCGCTGACATGCTGCAGCGGGGCGTAGAGCTCGCCGTTGATGCTCCGTAGCTGGCCGCCCTCGCTCACTTGACCGCGTACGTTAAAGCCGTAGCCAGACTCCGACTTGACGATACGGACTACGCGGGGGCCGCCCGGCCCCGCCGGGGCCCCCTCACCGCCGCCGTTCCGGTGCGGCGCCGCCGCCGAGCGCGGCAGCCCTTCACCCTCCTCGTCCGCCATCTTGGCGAGCAGCGCCCGGCCGGCCCGTCACGCGACCGCCGCCGCGCCAGCCACCGTAGGACACCACCCCCACCGCCTCTGAGGGGGGACGACGGGAAATGTAGTCCCGAGGCACTCCCTACCCGCGGGCGCGAGGGACGCTGGGGAATGTAGTCCGGCACAGCGGGAGCGAGGCCTTCTGGGAGTTGTAGTGCCGCGCCTCCGAGGCAACGGGGGGGACGCTGTGCCCGGCGGCGCCGTACCGTGATGTCACTGCTGTGACGTCACGCGGCCTCATAAGGCAACCGGTGGCAGAGAGGCCTTACCCACAGGGCTGGGGGCCAGGCCTTGGGCCAGGCCTCACTGCCAGGCCCAGGGGGCCCACAGGCCTCGCCAGCACCCCAGCCCCGAGGGAGCATGGGGCAGGGGAGGCCCCTGTCCCTAGGGAGGACATGCAACCCTGCAGGCCCATGCTCTCTTTGCCCCCACTTCCACCACAGCAGGGGCCCCGGCTGCTACAGAAGTGGGTGGCACAGGCCACTGTGTGGAGCAGGAGCACCAGGGAGGCACCAAAATGATGCAGGCTCAGGCCCAGAGCCCAAGTCAGCCCCCATAAGGGGGGCTCTCCAAAGCCCTTGGAGATGTGCCATGGGGGTGGCAGAAGTGGAGCAGCTCTGGTTCTGGATCAGAAAGCCACATCTCAACCCAGGCCTGGCCACCTTCCCCTCAGGCACTGGGGACAGACTGCGTGGAGACGGCAGCCATAGGGGACTGTTGAACTCCAATCCAGAAGCAGCTAGCTGAGCCCCTGGCCTTCACCACCACCAGAGTCAGTGCTGACGGTGTTGGACACAGCATCAGCTCACTCCTGTGGAGCACAGGACAGGGACGGTTGTCAAACTCTGCCATACCAGCAAGAGAGAAAAAAAAAAAAAAGGGGGGGGGGGGACACAGCCACCTCAAGAAGCAGGGAGCTCAGCCAGCACAGCCAAAAAACCAAATCCACCCCCCAATCCCAGTAAACTTCCACTGTTCACATCTATTCAATTGACTACAGTAGGAGGGATTAAGGCACATGTATTTTTGTATTAACACAGTCAGTACAAACACCAAGGACTTTCCTCTAGATGTACCCAAACTCCCTTCCTGAGCACAGGCGCAGACAAGACAGGTAATAACTCGCAAGCCCAGAGGAAGCTGGTTGGTATTTTCCAGTTCAAACATGGGACAGGCAGTCCTCAACTGTGCTCCCGTAGAGGTGGACAGCAGCAATCATGCCTGTCACCACATCAGTGGAAGACACCAATAATTTATTGAAATAAATACAGGTAACAAACCAAACAGCCTCTGGGTTTAAACACTACACATACATTGGGTACAATTTCTCTACGCTCTTGGGAAAAGCATGGTGATACACTGACTTTTGGCTACGTGAGCCTTTGCCAAGTCCGGAGCAGCCAGATATGTGCTGGAGATCAGAGGTGGAGGCTCCCAGCTTGTCACGCATTGGGCTTTGTTGTAGGAAGGAGTCCGGTTTCAGGAGGATTTCTTTGTTTGTAAGAGTGAATCTTTTTTTTTTCTTTTTTTTTTTTTTTTTTAAACCAAAAAAAGGTTAAACCCCAAGTCCACGCTGGCAAGCTGCAAGCTGAACAGGGGGCTCTGTTCAGATGAGGCCCTTCAGAAGCGAAGGCTGCTCTTGCAGAACAACCCCAGCAAACGCAGGACTGACCAGGGAAAGCGAACCTGGCTCTCCAGCCAGAGAGCCACCTTGTCCATGCCAGGGCCAGCTGGTCCCAGCCTCCAAACTGGCATCCATGTGACCTTGGGACCCAGTGGGGACAGCAATGTGGACGCTTCACAAACCTCCTTCCTCTGCCAGGACCACCCCGGCTATGTCTGTCCTCGGCTGCCAGTTCTCCAGGGCACAGCCCTCCGCCAACAACTCCGGGGAGACTCCGGGAGCACAGAGGCCAGAGGATGGCAGTCAAGCAGGGAAATCCAGTCAACGATAACAAGGGGAGAGTCTTCAGCTCAGACCGGCCCTCGAAACTCATGTTTCCACTACTCGAATGAGAGGGAGCGGCTTGGGGCCCGTCAGCCTTTTGCTGCAAGAGAGAAAGGGTTGGTTCAGCCAGATGAACTGGATGGGCTTTGGGGCGAAAACCTGCAAGAGAAGGTCCTGCCCCAGCCCTGGTCGGTGATGTCTCCCCCCAAAACCGCCCACAGGAGGGAACCCTGCTCCCCTGTATTCCCCTGAAGGAGGGATGCAGGAGTGGAGACCTCTCTGCAAACAGACAATAACACAACACCCTTCCAGAAGAGCATCCGTGCGTCCAGCATCTCCTGCCAGACTGCAGCTCCCGCTGCCCCAGGTAAGACGTGGACCTGCAGATGAAGCTGCTGAGCAGCCAGACAGGCTGGAGCGTACGTGCTCCCCTTGTACCTGCTCACATACTCCGACTTCGAGCGCGCTCTGGAGCTGTGGCCGCCCCGACTGACTTGCTTCTCAATCAAGTGCTCTATGCGGTCATGCATCTCCAGGTTCTGCAAAAGAAGCAGCCACGGTTAGCGATGGGCAGCTGGGAACAGGCAGGCTGCAGGCACACAGATCACTTGCCAAGGAATTCTCCAGTATAATCTCTTGCCATGGGTCAGCTTTTTCTTGAGGGAAATGAAATCCAGCCCTACATAGTTTGGGCTGAGGCCAATCGTATGAAGTTCAACAAGGCCAAGTGCCAGGTCCCGCACTTCGGTCACAGCAACC